TACCGGGTCGGCCTCTTCGTCTGCTCTCTGGACGACATCGAGCACGGGGTTCTTAGAGGTGAGGCTGTTATGCTGATGTTATTTTATTTTTATTTATTTTATTAGTGATATTATTTTATTTTTATTATTTTTATTAGTGATATTATTTTATTTTATTAGTGATATTATTTTTTTTTATTATTTTTATTAGTTATTATTTTATTTTTATTAGTGATATTATTTTATTTTTTTATTTTTAATATTAGTGATATTATTTTATTTTTATTAGTGATATTATTTTTTTTTATTATTTTTATTAGTGATATTATTTTTATTATTTTTATTAGTGATATTATTTTATTTTTATTATTTTTATTAGTGATATTATTTTTTTTTATTTTTATTTTTTATTAGTGATATTATTTTATTTTTATTATTTTTATTAGTGATATTATTTTATTTTTATTATTTTTATTAGTGATATTATTTTATTTTTATTATTTTTATTAGTGATATTATTTTTTATTTTTATTATTTTTATTAGTGATATTTTTTTATTTTATTATTTTTATTAGTGATATTATTTTATTTTTAATTATTTTTAGTGATATTATTTTATTTTTTTATTTTTATTAGTGATATTATTATTTTATTTTTATTATTTTATTAGTGATATTATTTATTTTTATTATTTTTGTTTTTATTATTTTTTATTAGTGATATTATTTTATTTTATTATTTTTATTAGTGATATTATTTTATTTTTATTATTTTTATTAGTGATATTATTTATTTTTTTATTTTTTTATTACTTGATTTTTATTATTTTTTTATTTATTATTTTTTTATTAGTGATATTATTATTTTTATTATTATTTTATTTTTATTTATTTTTTATTAGTGATTATTATTTTTATTTTTTAATTATTTTTATTAGTGATATTATTTTATTTTTATTATTTTTTTTTTTTTATTTTTTATTAGTGATATTATTTATTTTTTATTATTTTTTAATATTAGTAATATATTTTATTTTTTTTATTATTATTAGATATTATTTTATTTTTATTATTTTTATTATGTATTATTTATTTTTATTATTTTTTTTTTTATTATTTTTATTAGTGATATTATTTTATTTTTATTATTTTTATTTTTATTATTTTTATTAGTGATATTATTTTATTTTTATTATTTTTTATTAGTGATATTATTTTATTTTTATTAATTTTTTTTTATATTTTTATTAGTGATAATTATTTTATTTTTATATTTTTATTAGTATTATTTTATTTTTATTATTTTATTAGTGATATTATTTTATTTTTATTATTTTTATTTAATATATTTATTTTTATTTTTTATTATTTTTTTATTAGTGATATTATTTTATTTTTATTATTTTTTTATTAGTGATATTATTATTTTATTATTTTTTATTATTTTTTTTATTAGTGATATTATTTTATTTTTTTTTTTTTTTATTATTTTTATTAGTGATATTATTTTATTTTTTATTATTTTTATTAGTGATATTATTTTATTTTATTATTATTATTTTTTAGTGATATTATTTTATTTTTATTATTTTTATTAGTGATATTATTTTATTTTTATTATTTTTATTAGTGATATTATTTTATTTTTATTATTTTATTATTTTATTAGTGATATTATTTTATTATTATTTTTTATTTTTTATTATTTTTATTAGTGATATTATTTTTTTTTTATTATTTTATTAGTGATATTATTTTATTTTTTATTTTTATTAGTGATATTATTTTATTTTTATTATTTTTATTAGTGATATTATTTTTATTTTATTATTTTTATTATATTTTTATTTTTTTATTAGTGATATTATTTTATTTTTATTATTTTTATTAGTGATATTATTTTAATTTTTTATTTTTGTTTTTATTATTTTTATTAGTTATTTTTTTTTTTATATTTTTATTAGTGATATTATTTTTATTTTTATTATTTTATTAGTGATATTATTTTATTTTTATTATTTTTTATTAGTGATATTATTTATTTTTATTATTTTTATTTTATTATTTTTATTAGTTATTTATTTTTTATTTTTAATTATTTTTATTGTGATATTATTTATTTTTATTTATTTTATTTAGTGATTTATTTTATTTTTATTAGTGATATTATTTTTATTTTTATTATTTTTATTATTTTTATTAGTGATATTATTTATTTTTAATTTTTATTAGTGATATTATTTTATTTTTATTATTTTTTATTTTTATTATTTTTATTAGTGATATTATTTTATTTTTATTTTTTATTTTTATTTTTATTAGTGATATTATTTTATTTTATTATTTTATTTATTATTTTTTTATTTTTTTATTTTTATTATTTTTTATTAGTGATATTATTTTATTTTTTTTATTTTATTAGTGATTATTTTTAATTTTTATTATTTTTATTAGTGATATTATTTTTTATTTTTTATTATTTTTATTAGTGATATTATTTTAATTTTTTATTATTTTTATTAGTGAATATTATTTTATTTTTATTTATTTTTATTAGTGATATTATTTTTATTTTTGTTATTTTTATTAGTGATATTATTTTATTTTTATTATTTTATTAGTGATATTTATTTTATTTTTATTATTTTTATTAGTGATATTATTTTATTTTTTTATTTTTATTAGTATTATTTTATTTTTATTATTTTTTTTTATTAGTGATATTATTTTATTTTTTATTATTTTTATTAGTGATATTATTTTATTTTTATTGTTTTTTAGTGTTATTTTTATTTTATTATTTTTTTTATTTTTATTAGTGATGATATTTTATTATTATTTATTTTTATTATTTTTATTAGTGATATTATTTTATTTTTATTATATTTTATTTTTATTTTATTTTTTATTAGTGATATTATTTTTATTTTTATTATTTTTATTTAGTGATATTATTTTATTTTATTTTTTTATTAGTGATATTATTTTATTTTTATTATTTTTATTAGTGATATTATTTTTATTTTTATATTTTTATTTTAGTATTTATTTATTTTTATTTAGTGATATTATTTTATTTATTATTTTATTTTTATTATTTTTATTAGTGATATTATTATTATTTTTATTAGTTATTATTTTATTTTTATTGTTTTTTTATTTTTAATTATTTTTATTAGTGATATTATTTATTTTTATTATTTTTATTAGTGATATTTTTTATTTTTATTAGTGATATTATTTTTTTTTTATTATTTTTTTTATTTTTATTATTTTTATTAGTGATATTATTTATTTTTATATTATTTATTAAGTGATATTTATTTATTTTTATTAGTGATATATTTTATTTTTTTATTAGTGATATTATTTTATTTTTATTAGTGATATTATTTTTATTTTTATTTTTTTTATTAGTGATATTATTTTATTTTTATTTATTTTTATTAGTTATTATATTTTTATTAGTGATATTATTTTATTTTTATTAGTGATATTATTTTATTTTATATTTTATTAGTGATATTATTTTTATTTTTTATTTTTATTAGTGATTATTTTTATTAGTGATTATTTTATTATTTTTATTAGTGATATTATTTTATTTTTTATTAGTGATTTATTTTTATTTTTTATTTTTTTTTATTAGTGATATTATTTTATTTTTATTTTTATTTTTATTATTTTTATTAGTGATATTATTTTATTTATTATTTTATTTTTATTATTTTTATTAGTGATATTATTTTATTTTTTATTATTTTTTTAGTTATTATTTATTATTTTTATTATTTTTTATTAGTTATTATTTTATTTTTATTTTTTTATTAGTGATATTATTTTATTTTTATTAGTGATATTATTTTATTATTTTATTATTTTTTATTAGTGATATTATTTTATTTTTATTAGTGATATTATTTTATTTTTATTATTTTTATTAGTGATATTATTTTATTTTTATTATTTTTATTAGTGATATTATTTTATTTTTATTATTTTTTTTTTATTTTTATTAGTTATTATTTTATTTTTATATTTTTATTAGTGATATTATTTTAATTTTATTTTTATTTTATTAGTGATATTATTTTATTTTATTATTTTATTTTTATTATTTTTATTAGTGATATTATTCTATTTTTTATTTTTTTATTAGTGATATTATTTATTTTTATTATTTTATTAATGATATTATTTATTTTTTATTATTTTTTTATTAGTGATATTATTTTATTTTTATTATTTTTTGTTATTATTATTTTTATTATATTATTTATATTATTAGTGGTTATCGCTGTTGGGCGCTAATGGTTGTTGCGAAACTGCTGTTGTTATGGTTATTTGTATTGCAATTACATCTTCCCATTTTCATTAGTTTCATATTATTAGTTATATTATTATTATTAATCTTATCATCATCATTATTATTAGTTTATTTAATATTATTATTTATATTATTTTTTATACTGATTATATATGTTATTGATATTATTATTATTATATCACTACTATTATCATTATTATTATCCTTATTATCATTAATTAATGTATATATTATTATTATTATCATTTCTTTATTATATTAGTATTATTTTCATTATTGTTTTATCATCAATCATTCACATTACTATCATTCACAATTCTTCATCTGATTATTTCCACCATCAACGTAATTAATAAAGACCCAATAACACCATCACCATCAAAGCCACTTTCACTACAACCCAAACTGACACTCCCCCCCCCCCTTCAAGTGAACAAGCCCACCCTAGCACCGGCCGACCGTCATGTCCAAGGACGACCCAGACTCAAGTACCAGGTGTCGACACTTTGAGCCTCGATACACTTCGCCCTCAACTGCGGCGCTATGGTGAGTGCGGGAGGAGGGAGGGGGAGGGGAGGATGAAGGACTGGAGGGAGGAGGCGGGAGGGAGGGTCATGGTGACGTGGGGGATGAGAGGGTGACCGGTGAGAGGGTGAGAGAGAGGAGGGGGACGGGTGAGGTGAGGGGTGAAAGGTGAGAGGGGGAAAGAGAAGGAGTGAGGGAGGAGGAGGTGAGGGGTGAGGTGGGTGAGGGGGGTGAGGGGGGGACGGGTGAGGGCGGGGGGAAAGGGTGAGGGAAAGGGTGAGGGGGGAAGGTGAGGGGCGGAAAGGGTGAAGGAGGGGAGGGGAGGGAAAGGGTGAGTGGTGTGGGTGAAAGAGAAAGGTAAGGGGGAATGAGGGGGTGGGGGGAAGGAGGAAAGGGGAGGAAGGATGGGGATGGGGAGATAGGTGAGAAGTGTGAGGGGGTGAGGTAGAGAGGAGGAGGGGATGGAGATAAAGGAAAAAGGTGAGGATAAGGTGAGGGGGGAGAGGGTAAGGAAGAGCAAGGATAGGGGTGGGAAGTGGAGAAGGAGGAAAGAAGGGGATGGGGAGGGTATAAGGGTTGGGGAAGGGATTAGGAAACTGGGTTGGGGGAAGAAGGAGGGAGAGGGGGATGGGGAGGGAGAATAAAAGGGGGAGGAGGGGAGGGGAGAAGGAGCTGGAAGAAGGGAATGGAGAAGGAGGACGGGGAAAAGGATAGGTAAGGGGTAGGGGATCGGGAAAAGGGAAGGGTGGGTGAGGGGTATGGAGGGGGTGGTGAGGGGAGAAAGGGAAGGGTGGGTGAAGGAGAATGAGGATGAGAAATGGAATGGGAGAAAGGGAAGAAGGGAAATATAGGAGGGAGGCGAGGAATGAATGAAGGAGAAGGAGAGGGAGAAGAGAGGGAGGTGAGAATAAGGGGTAGGGGGAGAAGGGAACGGGTTGGGTGAGGGGAATAGGGAAGGGTGAGAAGGAGGAATAAGGGTGAGGGTAGGAGAAGGGAAGGGAGAAAGGAAGGGAGGAAGATGTGCTTGTTTAATTAACTGAATATAAATTCATTAAAACTGCACGTGTTATATATTAAGGTGGGAAATCCAATATAATTTGCTTACTAATTTGACTATGAATGAATAACAAACACAACCGACTTAACCGAACTCAAATCAAACACAACCGACATAACCGAACTCAAAATTTCAAACTCAACCGACTTAACCGACCTCAAATTTCAAACACATCCACCAACAGTCCTGCCCGATGCGTTCGCGTCTACAGCAGCAACAACTTGGAGGTGGCTCTCGAGGGCGCTACGACGAGTCCTACTTGACTCAGGAGGTGAAGATCGAGGACGACGTCGCGAGGCTGCCCGAGATCCTCAGCTGGTATCAAGATGACTTCGCTCCGACCAGATGGGGATGCTGAGGTCAGTGGGCGGGATGCCTGTATCTATCTATCTGTCTGTCTATGTCTATCTATCTATCTATTTATTATCTGTCTATCTATCTATCTAGCGTATCAAACTCACTCTTCTCTCCCTCTCCTCTCTCTCTCTCTCTCTCTCTCTCTCTCTCTCTCTCTCTCTCTCTCTCTCTCTCTCTCTCTCTCTCTCTCTCTCTCTCTTCTCTCTCTCTCTCTCTCTCTCTCTCTCTCTCTCTCTCTCTCTCTCTCTCTCTCTCTCTCTCTCTCTCTCTCTCTCTTCTCCATCACTTCATGCTGAGGTCAGAGACGGGATGCTGTATCATCATCTATCTGTCTATCTATATGTCTATCTATCTATTTATTTTATTTATCTGTCTATCTGTACTATCTGTCATATCTATATGTCTATCTATCTTATTTATTTATCTGTCTATCTATATGTCTATGTCTATCTATCTATTTATTTATCTGTCTATCTATATGTCTATCTAATCTATTTATTTATTTATCTGTCTATCTGTAGCTTTCTGTCTATCTATTATTATCTTCTATTTATTTATCTGTCTATCTATATGTGTATCTATCTATCTATTGTCTATCTATCTATCTATCTATATGTCTATCTATCTATCTATTTATTTTCTGTGTATTTTATTTATCTATCTGTCTATTTGTTATCTGTCTATCTATATGTCTATCTATCTATATATTTGTTTATCTGTCTATCTATCTACCTGTCTATCTATCTATATATATATCTTTTTTCGTAGATTTTTAGATATTGCGACTTAGTGTGTATCCTTTTATGATTATTTTTTGTGACTTGGTTATCTGTTTCCTCATTTCTTTTCCCTTCTGTTTTTTAAAGTCCTCACAAGTCATTGACGTTTTTCGATTTTTTTTTTTTTTTTTGATTTAGTGAACCACACTTGCTCGAATTTGAAGCTTCCGCCATTAGCGTCTCATCCATTCATTCCCAGAACCTAATCTTGACTGGCAGGTGTATAGCGCTTCACAGACGAAAAATTTCTTCTTGATCATCCACTTTAATCNGCATACGAAATGTTTGACTAAAGCGAGATGAGATCGGAGAGAGACATGAGAGAGAGAGGGAAAGAGAGGGACGAGAGGGGGAGAGAGTACAGGAGATAGGAGTGGGAGAAGAAGAGTAGAAGGAGAAGTGGAGAAGAAGTATGGCTGAGACTACGAAACGAGAGAGAGAGAATAGGAGTATGGAACAGAGAGAGAGGTAGACGACAGACCCAGAGAGAAAGGAAAAGAGAAAGAGAAGAGGTAAAACAAACAGAGAGGACTAGAGGGGAGAGCGAGGCATAAAAAACGAGATGTACACCGGAAAAGAGAGAAAGAGAGCGAAGCAGAGAAACCAAAGAAGAGCATAACAGAAACAGACACGAGAGTGGTTGAAAAACGGGTCACGTTAAAAAGTACTCGGTGAAATGCCTTAGTAATAACTTTGTGTCATGGGAGACCAAACGAGTGCATGCTATTCTATTTTGTGATGTGTGATCAGTGAATAAAAGAAATACAAAAAATACATCTTCGTTAAAAGATTTCCTGCCAATTATGTCAATATTAACAAATTGAGAATGATAATAATGGGAAATAACAATGATAATAATATTATATCTTTATCATTATCTTATTGTGTGTTTGATGCTTGCTTACTATTATACTATTATATCCTATTAATTTTATATATAGTTATGTTATTGGTTACATTGCTATATCTATTACCATTATTATATTGCATATCTATATCATATGAAAATAATATCATTATCGTATTATATTATTATTACTATCAGTATTATCATTTATCATTATTATCACCATTATTCCTATTATTATTATCAGCATTACCCAATTATATTATGTATGCCATTTCTGTTATTATCATTAATGATAATTTACTGATGATATTTTACCAAACATTATGATGATAATGAGTGATAGTGATGAAATAATAACGATACTTCTACTCAACTAATAATAATAATAATAATAATAATTATTCTTATAATAATAAACAATACTGATAATAATGATGATGATAAAGATAGAAATAGTAATGATGATGATGATAATAATCATATTATTGATAATAAGAATGATGATAATATCAACAATGGTAATAATTTTAACAATAATAATGATATTGTTAATAATGATAATAATAATAATGATTGACAAATAAAATAATCAGCAACAATATGAAATGGTAACAATGATAATGGATAATTGATAATATTAAATAATAATGACAAACAATAATAAAGATAATGATGAAATAATAATGATAAGAATATAGTAATAATGATAATAATACTAATAATGATTAGTAATAATGATAATAATCATCCTTTATGACAATAATTTAAAGATGATAATAACAATAATGATGAATGGCAAGTAGAATAACAAAATAATGACAGTAATGATAACAAATGATAATGATAAAAATCCCTAATAGTATGAGCACCTGAGCCTCACTTGAGCGGCCAACAGACTACATTGAAAGTCGACAACAATCAAAGAAATTTGAAAGTGCTTCGAGTTTTGGGTCAGACATTTCTATAGATGCTTTCAAGATTAAAATTGAACAGAGTGTCTTTGAAGGATTCGAATGAATCCCTTGTCTTATCTGGACATCTATCTATGCGTATCTCCTCATTTTCTCTGTATCGTCATTTCTCTCTTTCTCTCTCTCTCTCTCTGCCCCCTCACTCTCTCATTGTCTGAGTCTGTCTCGTGTCTCTTCCCTCACTCTCGTCTGTCTCTGTCTCTGTCTCTGTCTGTCTGTCTGTCCTGTCTGTCTGTCTCTACTCTCTCTCTCTCTCTCTCTCTTTCCTCTCGCTCTCTCTCTCTCTCTCTCTCTCCTCTCGTCTCTCTCCTCGCTCCTCTCTCTCCTCTCTCTCTCTCTCTCTCTCCTCCCCCTCCTCCCTCCCTCCCTCCTCTCCTCTCTCTCTTCTCTTCTCTCTCTCTCTCTCCTCTCTCTCTCTCTCTCTCTCTTCTCTTCTCTCTCTCTCTCTGTTTCTCCCTCTTCACTCTCTCGCCTCTCTCTCTCTCTCTCTCTCTCTCTCTGTCTCTCTCTCTCTCTCTCTCTCTCTCTCTCTGTCTCTCTCTTCTCTCTCTCTCTCTCTCTCTGTTCTCCCTCTCTCACCCCCTCCTCTCTTCTCTCTCTCTCTCTCTCTCTCTCATCTCTCTCTCTCTCTCTCTCTCTCTCTCTCTCTCTCTCTCTCTCCTCTCTCTTCTCTCCCTCCCTCTCTCTCTCTCCCTCATTCTCCCCGCGCCGTGGTATTTCCCCACTTCCTGTTCTGTGTCTGCGTATCCCTGGAGCTGCACCTGTTTCTCAAAAAAAAGAAAAAAGAAAAAAAGAAAAAAAAATCTGAGGAAAACTTGTTGGTAATAAATGATAATAGAAAATATAGGAAGAGAGGAAGACTTGTTGTTTATAATTATACCTTGTTTACGTCTTTTGTTTTTTGCTTTTGTTTTTGTTTACGTGTTTTGTTTTGCTTTATTTTGTTTTTTTTTGTTTTGCTTTTGTTTTGT